AATCCATCAATATATTATGTAATATATAATTCAATAACTTCATAAATGCAAAAATACATTTTCATTTCATAGATCTGATGAAGACTGTATCAGATTATTTATTAAATGATAATTGAAGAATTTTACTGATGTTTCTATTCATGAGTTTGTTTATTTATTGAGAGATATAAGTGTGCAGTGATGGATTTGATAGTAGAATTATGTATTAATACGCTGTACTGCAGCACACGGCCACTAGGCGGCGGCAAGCGCACTAGGCTAATGTAGGAAGTTTAAATGGCGAGGTAATGTAGCAAAATGTCAAAACAATCAGCTGTTCTGAGTTTATATCCTTTCTTTTTTATTTATTAATGACCGCAGTGTGGGTCAGTACATAGTGCTAGTATGCCTGGCTTGTCATGACAACATTTAGTAGTGAGGAACTAAAACAGCGCGAAACGAGGCTTGTTATACGGCAGCTTCTTCTCCGAATTTTCCGTTCCACCTTAACCGGTGCGTCGGTTAGCGACACTCCATTTCTCGCCTATATGCAACTGCTGCAGGATTTAAGGTGGAACGTAAAATAAAAAAACAAGAAGCCAATTTCACCTTCGTCAGCGCACATTTAGCTACCAAACCAAACAGTGGACGTTTCGTTAAACCGAATAACTGTATCGCTCTGATGGATTTAAGTATTATATCTAAATATCGCAGCTATATTACGCAAAAATATGCAGCGACGATGTAAAACAGAAGGTTTGTGCCCGCAGATTGCCACCTGGTCAAGCGGCGGTCCCATGGTGTAATGGTTAGCACTCTGGACTTTGAATCCAGCGATCCGAGTTCAAATCTCGGTGGGACCTCGTCCTTTTCAGAAGCTTCACATCAACAGTTGTGGTCTTTCTGATGGGTTTAGATGAAGAAGAACATACAGTAGTATTAACAGTCCTGAGGAACACTGCGCTGTATGATTGAAAGGTTCTAGACACCGTGCACTTCGAAGTTTCATCCCAAATAAAGGGTATTAATAGGAAGTTAATAATAATAATCATTTTATTTATATAGCACTTTTCATGCCGGTGGCAGCTCAAAGTGCTTTACAGACAGGTGATAAAACATAGTTATAGAAAAGATCATTAGTACTTAGTGATCCTCCCTTTGCTGCAGAAACAGCTTCTACTCTTCTACGAAGACTACGCTAGATGTTGGAATATTGCTGTGAGGATTTGATTGCATACAACTGTTGATGTTAGTTCTGGATCATAAATTCCTCTCTAACTCATTCCAAAGGTGCTACAGGGAGCTCCATCACTCCATAGAATTGTCTGGGGGGCACTGCTGGGGGGCTTTATAGCCCTTTAGCTGATGCCTGGCATTGGTCATGGTGACATGTGGCTCGTTTGTGGCTGCTCCAAAGTGTCCCATTATATTAGCAATGCTTTTCTATGGAGATTATTTAAGCTCTTGTAGCAGCCAAGAAAGGTATAACAGAGACAGGGCGAATTATCTCTAGGAGAACCAGCAGGTCACACTTAAGGTAAAAACATGCTAACAACAGAGAGAGGACTTCAAATGGCTTTAGAAGGAAACGCTCTTTTCATTTCCATCCTCTTGCAGAAACATCAAGGTTTCTTGAGAGCCCTTGAACAAATGACCAGAATACACTTCCTGTCCTTGGTAGTATCAATAGGCCTGCTTTCAGAAGCAGAACATTCTGAAAAGAACAGGTTTCGAAGGCCTTCCCTTTGTGAACTTCCCTTAATGAAAGCACAATTCATTTAATCTAAGCTAAAAATTAGTCTTTAATACATTGGCAAATACACATAGGCTTTACTCAGAAAACAAATGAGTTAGCTCACACAGAAAAATGTGCAGTAGCTTGTGGGGTTTTGTTCACAGAAACAGGAATGGAATCAAAAGTGTGACTCTGTATTTAACAGTACAAAGCAACTGTTAGTTCAGTAGAGCTAAAATGATGGACGGCACTTCACAGTGCAGGTGGACGATGACCCGAAGCATATTTTGAAAGCAACCCAAGTTTTTGAAAATGGTTGTAATTACTACACTGTTCACCCTATTCAGATGTAAATATTGTCTGCACTTTTAACTCATATTCTTTAATATCATCATTATTTTAATATCATTATTATTTATTTTTAATCTGCTACCACAGACGGCTAAAACAATAACTTTGTCGACATCAAAATGTTTATGGACCCGACTGTGTATAGAACTTAAAGATCCATTAGAACGCTCAAATAGTTCTTTGCATGGTTAAAAGTTTTTTTTTCCCATGATATATAGGTATTCAAAGAATAGTTCCAACAATTGTTTTTATAGAACCCCACACACACACACACACATTTTCTAAACCGCTTATCCTTCTGGGTCGTGTGTGGGGGGGGCTGGAGCCTACCCCAGCAGTCATTGGGCGGAAGGCAAGATACACCCTGGACAGGTTCTATAGAATCATAAAGGGTCAGTTTTATTACAAACCAATTAACGTATTTCGGTACTATCTAGAACCCTTTTTGATAATTGTATACCGTTCAAATGTTTCCATTCACTCAAATAAAACCAGTTTTGTTGAAGATGTCCAACATGATTCTGTTGAGATGTTACTGCTCTACAGCTTTAAACATTTCAATTAGTATGTAGGAAACTATATTGAGGATGAAGTTATAATAAAAGTAACATGAACAATGCTGTACATAGACAGTATGTTATATATTATTTAATAATTTTTAGTGGTACCCAAAAAACTTCAAATGTCTAGCTTGTGGTATTTCAGTCTACACTGTGTAAGATATTATTCCTTAAAATCACAGCAGTTATTATTATGAGAAGCGACTGAACAGTGTTAAATGCATCTTACAGCACGTTAAAATCTTCTTCAGAACTGCCACATTAAATCGTGAACAGCAGAGATCTTCAAACATCCAGTGCAATAACTTTTATTGTGCTCCTTATAACAATCATCACACAAACAATGAAATCATAATTATTCACAAGTTGCTTAGCAGTTCGAAAGGAATGTTTTTGTTGGTTTTTTTGTATAATTTCTCCAAGAGACATTTTTTGTAGAACATTATTTCACTCATCGAGCCAACATAAACAACCTTCCCAAACAATGAGAGAAGGCAGTCAGTGAAAAACACTCAAAGTGCTTATTTGAACTATTTACAACAAAATGTGTTTATACACATATGCAAGAAATAATTACATACTTGAAATGTTTTCGATGCTCATAAAAACAATCCATTATTTTCACTTCCGTTCATTGTTACTCTCTGTCAGTCCAGGCCAATCAGGCAGAACAATTCAGATAAAGAAATACATTTCAAAACTGTGAAATTTCCCTTTTAAAGTGGTAAACCGTCAGTAATTTATGAGGGCAGATAGTGCTTGTTAATAGCAAAGCAGCACAGATTGTTCTAATCACTGTGGTATGAATATAAAATAAATCTACTAGTGGAAATACACAATATTTCCACCAAAATCCAACCTAATAAGTTTAGTTTCTGGAGAATGAGCTTGTTCATGTTTTCATTTTCCTACAACTCTTTGACCTGTTCTCAAGTTATTCACCAGAGGATCCAGTTGAACGTTTCAGCAGTACTGAATTTTTAACCATGCTTGTATACAGATACATATTGTATGGGGCTAAGACTGCGCACAAGTCCTGTTTTGGGGTTTTTAGTTTTTACAAAATGTTTTAATGTTTTAAGATATGTTCAACTATCTGTGATGCTGCCTTGGGAATAATGCCACATCCCACACATTTTACATCCTTGTTGTGATGTCAGCCCTCAAACCTTTCAGATGCTTAAAACACCTTTGGGACAGTACAGTGCCAATCTGTGCTTTTGACAACAGTTTGGAAAAGAAAACTGTCAAATCATTATTCAAACAAAACCTGCTCTTCATATCAAAGTAGATACTTCGAAGAAGTGCTAAACAAAGTACAGGGTTATGCAAAAGTCAGAGACCTCCCTTTTGTTCTTTTCATTTCCAGCCAAAACAACCATTAAGTATGGTATTCTTTTTTCAGTGTCACATATTTAACATATTAAATAGAAAATTACACAAAAGCCTCCAAAGCTAAGCATCATATCAAATCTATCAGTATTTAATTTGTCCACTCTTTACTTTTGTGCACTCTACTGCTACTTCTTCCATCCTTCTGATCTTAAAGCCCATCAATTACAGCTCTGTCCTCCCAACAAAATCTGTTCCAAAAGCTGTCACTGACATTATGTTCCCCTAACATTCACACAAGCAACTACCCAAACTCACCTCAGCTGCCTTATTTCTCATGTGCGTCTAAAATGGCTAATGGAGATACTTCTGAGGAGATCAGGTATACAATAATCAAAATGAATAAGAAAGAGGAAAGTGAAAAAAAAATAAGTTTGAAAAATGGGTTTACAAACGTGGAGTCCAAAAATCAAGCAGGAAATGCAACAAACTTCTAAGACTGAACTTTGGAGGTGTGGAAAAATATCCTTGCAGATTTCTTTGAGAAACTGAAAGCAAGTCTCCTGTAAAGGCGTGGTAACAAAGGCAAAGGGTGGACACACTAAATGCTGAAAAGGTATTATAATATTATATTCCATATATGCCTTCCGCCCACTGACTGCTGGGATAGGCTACAGCTCCCCCCCATGACCCAGAAGGATAAATGGCTTAGAAAATGTGTGTGTGTGTGTGTGTGTATGTGTGTGTGTGTGTGTTCAATATATTAAAATGTATTATTGATTATATATTTAGTTGTTGGTTTCTGTGTAATTTTTTGCTAAACATATATATTGACATTTAATATATTTAACTTGTACTTAATGTTCATTTTGACTGCAAATTAAATATCTCTGATTTTTGCACTGTACTATATGCCTAAAGCAAAAAGAAAAAGCTATTTTATGTTAACAACACAATGTTTTGGGTATTTTGTTACAGAATTGAAAAGTAACAGCTAGAAAATTCAAAACTCAAAAGAAGGCAAGGTGTCCCCAAACCTTTTACAGGCAGTGCTTTTTTGTTTTGGTCAGTTATTAAAAAGAGACTGTGTTACTACACGAGTGACTGTATGTGCTACAAAGAACTGAGGCAGTACTGTCAACTCCCCAAATGACTGACACCAGTAGACGGAGTCAACGCCATCTTGCTTTCTACGTTCTATACTTTCTAAATTACAGTGCTTGTGACACAGACGAGCAGGCGATGCCATTTAAAGTGATCACAAAATAAATTGTTCACAATTTCCCTTTTTACACCAAATGCAGTCAAACAGCCAAGATTTGTTTAGTGTTGGAAAATCAGTCTAAAAGTGGCATCTAAAAGCTACAAAATATTAGACTCAATCACAGTAATGATGTTATTGGTGATAACCCTACTTCCTCTAATGCTAACTGGTAGATGTAAGCTTTTGTTACTACTCAGCTACATTAGATTTGGAGCCCCAGAGTAAAACTGATCAAGCTGATAGATCAAACATGCCTTGGCTGACCAAACTGTGTAAATCAGATTTTTTTCCTCCAAAAGAATTAAGCTTCATTTAAGCTGGCTCAATAATGCTGATGACGCTAATATCAAATGAACACAAGCAGGATAATGTTAGCATACAAATCATGCTAACCCCCAAAACTTTTCAATCACTGTTTGCATTTTTTGGTGAAGTATTTTTTTAAGAGCAACCAAACCCGACCCTTAGTGTCTGCCGCTGTGCTAAAGCAGTCTTTATCTCCACTACAGTGTCAGATGTCAGATGGCTCCAGCAGTTTGGGCACCTCTTGGTCTTCGTTGTAGCAGCGTTTGCCGTTGCTCTGGCCGTTGAGTGAGTGTGTGGTGGTGCATGTTTTGTCGTCCTCTGAGTTTGGCGGGGCATGCTCCAGGCTGATGATGACCTTGCTGGTCTCAGTGATGGAGGACTGGGTGTGGTAGTTGCAGTGAGAGTCGGTGACCAGGCGTCTCCGCCACTGAGCCCTGTACTGCATAGATTTACGTCTTAGAGCCGACTGCACCTGGAAGAAGATTTCAGCATTAGATCATGTTTCAGCATTAGTAATTACATGAATCATGTTCATAAACAGTTTCCTGAAGTGTTAAATTGCCAGAGACAGTTGAAGATGACAGATATATGAATATAGAAAACTACAGAACAACTATAGGACTTTTGTCTCACTTTGGATTCTGTCTCTCATTGCTTTCTCTTAAAATAATTTAGATCTTAAAGAAAGTAAACTGTTAACACTGCAGCGGCTAAAGTGCGGAAATACATGAGTTGTTTTTTTACAATTGCCTCCATTAGTGCGAAAAAACGCATGGATATACTGGCAATGCCTGGCATGACCACACACTCTCATCTACAGTGAGTCATTTAGCTCTGCCATTTTTTAAAAGATTTACAACTTTTATGTTATCAACAAATGTTTTTATTCAGGGTCTGTCAATATGACAACATATGCAGTTGAATGGTGTGCATGAAAAAGTCAGTATTTATCACTGTGAAACAGTTAATAAAGTTGGTGCTTCCACAAATAATCTGCAAGAAAAACCCTGCAATTCTACTGAGAAACACGTACGTGTTCAAAACTTTGAAGAAAAAAATTTAGTTTGGACTTTTGAACAGCATTAAATGCAGACTGGAAGTCTTTCTTTTGACACGGCATAAACAGAAACCCTGCTTTAGCTGCTATCAAGAGTGCTGGGATTAAAACATTTCTCAGCTCACTTAGAGTTAGATGAATCTACATTGCCTGTCTCAACCTGTCCACAGTTCAGTGGCAAAATCAAATGCTTTTATTTGTCAACTGCAAGCAGCGTCTGTAAAGAACCAAAATTGAAAGCAGGCAGATTGTGTGGGCAGCATGTTTGGATATTCCTTTGTTTGGCACAGATCATAATAAAAAGGCTTTCCCACCAGCAGTAAACTGATCCAGAATTCACTTGTAAAGCAAGACCTGTGATTTTTGGCGGACAGTGGTTCAGTTGCTTGGTATGCATGCAAGTATAAATGAGGTGTCAAACAAACCAAACTAAAGAAAATGTTTGCTTAGCTTGCTTAGTGAAAGTGCCCCATTATTACTGATCTGTGAAGTGTTACCCCAACTTCTAAGACCTTTGGAGGTGTGGAGAAATATCTGCAGGTTTCTTTGAAAAACTGAAAAAGATAGAAGCTGCACCATAAGTGTGGGCAAAATGAATACTAAAAGTGCATAATATTGTTATTATTTGTGTATTATTATGTGTACAGTCTTTTTTGTGCAAAAAAAGCACATCATTTACATTTTTTGCCATGTTTTTGTCATTTTTTGACATAAAAACAAAATTAAAATGTCAGAAATGCACACTCTAGTCAAAAACAAATAAATGCTATTCATTACATAAGTATATAGTAACAAACATGTAACTACATGTAAATATTTACATAATGCAAAGCAAATTTATAGCAAAACTGCATTCATCACTCGAGACTAGAAAGAAGCGCTGTTCTTGAGGACTCTAGAGCCACTAGACTGGTAGAAACAGATAGATAATAGAAACACATGAAAATACCCAAGACAGTTCAAACAAAGCTCTGATCTCAACAAAAGGAGGAAGAGACAGCCTGTTTATTTTGCTTCTCTGATCAGCTTCAATATTTCATCCTCTCACTGCAAGCTCTAAACGCTTTTTTAAACTTTAAATGAGCTGCCTCGTTTCCCCCCCACTGTTCAAACTTTTTTAGATGTCTTCTGCAAGAGGGACTGTATGGTGTGTATATTTTGGCATCATTCTCTTTTGTGCTTTTCTTTTCCTCTGTTGTTTTTACTGTACTGTATGTTGTACTGTCAGCAGACACAGTGCAGAGAGCTTGCCAGCACAAGGAAGCAAATTTACAAACAAAAGCACCAAAAAAGCAAATAAACCCTGGAACATGGCCATCCAAAACAGTGCATGTTTGCATGTGTATTTGTATGAATGTGAATAAAAGACAGGAAGACATTAAAATAAATAACTGAGTAAATGAAATGGGAGCGGGGGCAGAAGTGGCCGAAAAGGCAAAAATATATCATCACAATATTTAAAGATTTGCTAGTAGGAATTGTATTTAGATACTAAGATGCTAATAGGAAATATATCTCAGCATGAAAGGAACAATTTTTAGATGAAAAGCTCTTAATGAACCTGGCTTTAATTCATTCACTCACTCACTCACTTACATTTAGCAGGCTGAAGATTCTCCACACTATGTAGGGATGCACCAATTTAACTCTCCCAATGTAGAATTTGATGCCTGAAATCAGGATATCGGCCGATATCCTGTACTGATTCAACATATTTTTCAGTTTAAAATCTGTATACCTCATATAATGTGTTATTACAATTGAGGAGTCAATTTAAAAACATTGATGACACTAGAAAAGTATTTCATATTCAACCATATTCTTCTAATTTGCATTAAATCTATTAAAATGTAAAAGTCTAAAATTATCATTTGCTGACAAAGCTGGTGTGAATCACAACAGAATTAGGAAAGCCCTCCTGCAAAAGGCTTTTATTCTGATGTGCTTTGTCATTCATGGTTTGAAGGGGCTTTTATTCTGATATGCTGCATCACATTTTATATTTCAGATTTACCTGCAGGGAGCGGAACAGAAAGAGAGAGACATGTGGCTAATAAGTTTGGGTAAAGGAAAACAGATTGGAATAGACTGTAACTCAGTAATAAAAAGCTAAACATATAGCCAGCTAAATTTTATAGGTCTGAAAGCGTACAAGCACACATATCACTGCTGTTGGTATAAAACCACACATCTCCAAAATTAAGATACAGCAGAAGAAAAAAACAAACTTTTCAAAATGATCATTTGCTGACAAAGCTGGTGTGAATCACAACGGAATTATGAAAGCCCTCCTGCAAAAGGCTTTTATTCTGACATGCTTTGTCATTAATGGTTTGAAGGGGCTTTTATTGTGATATGCTGCATCACATTTCACATTTGCCACGAAACCACTTGTTTCACCTCCTTAATCAAGACGTTTGCCTGTAATGTGATCATTCATAATCACTGCCTGTACGTAGAGCATTTAGTTCCATTATTAAAAACACAAAGTAAGAATCTGACATGTATCAAGTTTTGGAATGACAGCTTTCCATTTTAGAGTGACTGTATCTAAGTAACAGAATCAACAGCGAATCAGTTACTGGGCCAGTATCTGTGCATCACTAATGCTGGTGTTTCATTAAAGTGGTGCTTCAAAAAAGTGACAAATTATGTCCTTGTTACTAATATGTAAAGTAAAATTTACATTCTGACATGTAAGTATTACTTTATAAGACCATAAACATGTATCTTGGTAAATTCAAAGGTTTTAGTATGGATTTGGTGCAGCTGTTACACTCCGTTTTCTTGAACGACATGTGTCACAAGATAACTCTGATCCTTAAACGCCTGATATTAGTAATAATTAAAATAATGTTTTGACTAAATCTGCATTTTGCCGCTGTATGAAAGTACAGTGGTCTTCTTAACATATTTACTACAGTGTTTCTCAGTTCAGCTGTACATTTTAAGCACTGCATATGCAGGCATTAGCACATACCTCTCCATTGCCAAAACAGAATATGATGGCGACCAGAAGCCCCTACAGAGTGAAGAACAGATGAGAACATGTTAGGAATACTGTTTTATGATTTTTTTAATTTTGCTTTTTCAAAATGAGAACAAGACAAATTGCTCAGCAAACTCTAGAAGGCTCAGAGACAGCTTTTAAAAATGAACCACTAAAAAAAGCTATTTTCACTGGAGAATCCCCTTTGACTTGATTTATGTGAGGAAAATGCCTTACATGTTTTATCATTTCTCAAAGATGAACACATTAAAATAACAAATCCGGTAAATGCAAGAATTCATTAAAGAAATGTATCCCACAGCCTACAAAAAAATATGAAAGACTTGCAGCCAAAAACATTTGTAATAAAAAGGATGAGAAGATGAGAAAGAAAAAGGAAAAGATAAGAAAAAAGAGAAGATAATTGAGGAGAAGATGACTAAAAAGAAAAGAAGAAAGAAAAATTGAACAGAGGAGAAATGAAGAGAGGAGAAAATATGAGAAGAATCAAGAACTGAAGAGAAGAGAAAGTATCAATTTTATTGCTGTAATTATGAATTAAGTGAACAAACATTACGACTAATTGACTCCTGGATGTTGTTTTACAATTTATATGATGAAGAGAAGGTCTGAGCTTATTTCTTTGCCTACCTGAAAATGCATAAATACATTCATGAAGAACTCATAGATGGCCAGAGCCAACCTGCCCTTGGGCTGCATCGGCACCAAGATGAAATGAGCTCCCATCAGCGGCACCAGGATGAGGGTGGCACGCACAGCCTTCATGTAGACGTTAGACTCTGACTTGTGGGTCACTTTCAGCTTAGTGACCAATACACGCACTATATTCAGCAGAAAGAACAGGTTTACCTGCAGGGAGAGGAACAGAGAGAGAGACGTGTGGCTAATAAGTCTGGGTGAAGAACAACAGATTGGAATAGACTGTAACTTCTCAATAATAAAAAAGCTAAATACATAGCTAGCTAAATATTATAGGTATAAAAGTGTACAAGTACACATATCACTGTTGGAATAAAACCATGCATCTCCCAAATTAAGATACAGCAGAAGAAAAAAACTAACTTTCAATGGAAGTTAATGTAATTTTTTTTTTTTTTTCAAGTAATTTTGTTCATTATGAAATTTTAACACAATGCAAAGGGTAACTGGACTCATTAAATTATGCAACAGAGGCTTTTGCTCGACAGCAATTATATATTAGTGAATTATTAAGCATTTTTATATATGTCTTGCTTTTAGCATGGATATGGTGCAGTTTTCACACTTGGTGAATCAATCAGTGCATAGCTGAGCCAAGACCTGCAACACAGGATAAAGCTGATCCTCAAACACCTGGTATTACTAATAACTCACTTTTGACCAAATTTGGAGTTACTGTATTGTGCCTTTGTATGACAGTACACAAGTCTTTTTAATGTTTTCACTACAGTACTGCACAGTATAGCCATAAAATGTTAAATGTCTAAATTTAATTAATTATGTCTATCTATAATCAATACACACACCACAAGCAGTATACAGTAAATTTAATTAATTATGTATCTATAATCAATACACACACCACATGCAGTATACAGTAAATACTGCAGTATGCTGTTTCAAACACAGCCAGTTTTTGCGAACATTTAGTCGAACGATGGTTTTGGAAAACACCTTTTTCGCTTAACAATGGTTTGTACCATGTAAGTTACCAGCGTAGTAATCTTGATAGTTTCAACTAAGATTTTGGAAAATGCATCACAACTACATGTTTCCAATTATGTAGTGGAGTTTTGTGGAGTTTTTTTTAGAAATAAGCTGCTTTAACTTAACAAGTAATATTTTGAACCATGTTGGGACAAATCCCAGCTTGCCCCCATTATTCTGGCAGCCACGACCCCCAGACACCTGAGGAAGTAAGGGAACTCACCACTAAGGCGACCTGGATTGGGCCGTGGACGATGTAAAGCAGATCAGTGTTTATTATCCAGCACCTGAGAAACAAGCACGCAAACCTGATAAATTCACACAAACTGAGCAAATACACAAAATTCCCTTCTGAACAGAGCCTTTCAACCAAGAGGAACAGGGTTTGAAACAAACTAGGGATGAGTGTAATTATATGGATATCAGAACACATATCAGTATTTGTTTACTTAATCTCATATTTGAAATTTAAATTCAAAACTCAAAAAATAAAAAGACAAAAAAAAAAAAATTAAAATCACACACTGCTGCATAATTTTAACTGTAAATTCAATGCTTTTTAAAACCTTTTCAAGACCGCAATAAAAAACGGTAAAACTTCTCTGTGTGAGTGGAGCCTTCTTCACTGCCAGCAGCAGCGTACGCTCGGCTTACATCACATGGTATCAGCGGGTATCGCACCGTTGGAATCGGCGAACTTTATTCGATACCCGATACCAGCATTTCTATCGATGCATCCCTAATGTGAATAATAGGTTTATTGTCTTTTGGCATGTAATTTTGGGTATGTTATCATTAAATCACAGAACATCCTCACTCCAACACAGAAAGTACACTTAGAACAGTGCATAAAAGAAAATGTACAATTACACCGCTCCGTACGACCAAAAGAACAATATCAAGCACAGACAGAACCCATTGCTGTCTGTAAATGGAGTGAGGAGGATTCCAAAAAGACAGTGTATTTGACTTTGTTCTTACTTCTGCCATCTTCTAAACCATCATCAGTGCTCAGACTTCTGTTTGGCAAAGTATTTGGAAATTGACTTTTCAACACGCTCTTTCTAAAACTGAATACCTCTAATAATAAAAAACAAGATGTTTTCAGAGATTTCATGACCTTAAGAATTATCTGAGATTTATAGTATAAATTTTGTGGTACATTAATGCTGGACCATGTAAGATTTTATTAAAACTGAAAAAAGTAGCATTACTGAGTCAGAACAGAAAAACATGGAAAAAATGAGGTGTGCATGTACTGCTGCGAGTCACCCTGTAAAACAATAATAATTTAAGCTAGGTGTAAATCAGATGTAAATAATAATAAATAAATAATTAAGTTAGGAGTCAAGTGTGATTTCGTGGAAGTTCATGTCATACTTCTTTACATATTTACATCACACGCACAGCCTCAAAAAAAAAGGTCTGGCTCACTGTTTAGGTCTTAAATGCAAAATCAACAATATACCGATGAAGATATGATGACAATACTAGACAGATACTAGATTCACTTAAATCCTCAGAAGAAATGTCCTTCACCAAGGTTTCACTGCGTTCTCTTTGAATACTCTTTCAACACGCTTGCAATCATCAGATTCATCCGCTTGTGGTGGGGGTCTGTAGCACAACCGGCATTACAAAATGTTCTTCTGCATGACCCATGCAATCCTCAAAACCTATACTGTAGCTATAGGGCACTAAGCAGAGCTATATATAGACATATTTCAAATAAAAAGAACACGTTTGTCCAGTGCAAGTTACTGCTCTGTAGGTTAACTATGCCTGTGATATACACATTAAATAATGATTGGGTATGGATCTCCACTTATGACAGCTGCACTCAGCAAATAAACGCTAAAGGTAATTTTTAACTCAACGCGGGTACTCAAAATAGTAAAATAGTCAAATTGCCTTTCCGTAAAAACACAAACACAATAAAAAAAAATGTGGAATTGTTTATTTACTTGTCGTCATGGAAGAGCAGCCGAGCCACGGCATGAATCACGGCTGGCATGATTGGGAATCCTGTAAGAGAAAATGATACATTAATATGATTCAGTATAATCCAGAGGGAACAGGAGAGAGGGGAAAATGGAAAGAGAAAAAACTGAATTTAAATGACATCAATCAGTTTTAAACAGAAGCCGTGTCAGTAATATGAACAGCTTTTGTGGTATTGTATATTAGACTCATGCCTACAGTGCTTTGTTGATATTTAATCATCCTGACTGTGCATCAGCGAACTCAATGTGAGCAACATATCAATTCAATGAGTCAGACTGAACTGGACTGATGTGAATCAGCAGGGTTTAACTCCTCACCTCCCCATGCGCATCAAGTAGTAATCAAACTGAAATCAGACTATTAAATTAATGAGATAGATTTTGTTCCTTACCCCAGCCAAGCAGGTAGTACCAGCCCAGCTGCTGCTCCCCGACGAACACGGCCACAATGATGAGTGTGTGCAGGTAAATCCCCTCACACAGCATCCAGAAGTAGTTCGAGCAGGATGTGTAATGAATCAGACTGGCCAAGAGCTTACAACCAACCTGACAACGTACATTCAGCACAGATACAGTATATTAATACAAGGAACACAAAGAAAATACTAATATAAAGAGGTTCCAAACCTAATGTCTATCTGCTGCATCTGTATCCCACTGTCACCTTCCATGTAAAACCATTTTGATCCTTTTACCTCAGAATAGAAAATGTGCTGACCCAGAACTCACCTCTGATAGAAGCCACGGAGCAGCTGCTGAATCCTGTGAATAAATATTTGAAATATATGACTATATAACAGGAATACGAGCCTATAACTGTCATACTTTAACTATACATGCCTTTATGGAAGCCCATTTCTGCCATTGCGATAGCATAGTATAGCATCTCATAATCATGACTTGCCATGTCATAATAATGAGATAATATACCATAATTACTACTTAGTATCTCATAATTATGACTTGCTATCTCAAAATAATGAGATAATATATTAGAATTACAACTTAGTATCTCATAGGTATGACTTGCTATCTCAAAATAATGAGATGATATATCATAATTACTACTTAGCATCTCATAATTATGACTTGCTATCTCAAAGTAATGAGATAGTATATCAGAATTACTACTTAGTATGTCAGAATTCTGACTTTGTACTTTAAAATTATGATTTACTATTTTATAATAATGAGATCTGAGTGTCATAACCATAACTTACTGTGTCATAATTATGAGAAAATTTCTCATTGTTATGACATACTATATTGCCTTTTTTCAAGTGTTCCACTGTAGAGGATGCGTTAACTTATTTTCAAAGAAAATAAGTACAGCACAAAATGTACTGTGCATTAGACTAGATTATAGGAGCAATGTAAAAAAAAATAACAGCAAAAGTGGCAAGGAAAATAAAACACAGGAGCGTTATCTCAGTAATAAAAATAGTTGCGAGCTCACCAAGTCGCTAGCATCCCGTTTCGCATTTAGGATGACCTCAGAAAACCAGATAATCATCAGTACAGAGTTTAGGATAAAGGACATAAACATGTTCTTATGGAGGGAAATCCTCTGGCAGCTTAAACACCTAAACAAAAAATACACAAAATACTCAGAACATGGTCACAATATATACCCCTACAAAAAAGTCATGAGTTTCATGTGTGAAAAAATGTATTTTTGCACAATATACATGTTAAAAATGTGTTATCACACATGAAAAAATGTGATCATGAGGAAAAATATGCATTCACATGTGAAAAATGTGTGATTACTTGTAAAAGTGGGGGTTTTGCACACTTCACATGTGAGATATGTGTAATTTTTCTGTAAGGGGTTGAAAATGTTGGCATACATTAGCTATTATAAAGAAACACTCATAATGCTTTTATAAGCTGCTAAAACAGAACCCTTAAAACACACCCATAGTGTAAGACAGATGAAGCTTTCATTTACTTCATTTGACCTGGTTTAAAACAATGCACAACTCTTTCTTCTTCTCAGTGACCACTATATTAAAAACCTTCCTTTGTAGCTCTATTTTGCTGGTATACAGTTAGAGACTGTAGCTCATTTGTTCATGCATAATTTGTGCTAGTCGTCCTCTACCCCATCACCAGTGGTCAGTTTCTAACCAGAGAACCGCTTTTGGATGGGTATACTGTGTCTAATACCTTCATACCAGCACAACACACACTTCTACACCACTGCCATGGCATAACTGTGCACGTCAAGTAAACATTCACAGTGTTAGTGGAAAAAGTAAACGAGACCTGGGATTTCATAAGTGGCCAAACCAGTAGCCGTGGATCAGACCTGCACAATGCTCGATAGCAATACTGGGCCATCCTTACAGAAGACCTTCCTCACAGAATTGAGCAATTTTTTTTGGAGAGCAGCAGCTTCCTCTGTGGTGTCCTGCTCAATGTCTGTTCAATGTTTTTCATATAAAAGACTCATGAACAGAAATGTTAACCAGTCCCAATGATTCTGTCAAGCGTTTAACTGTTACTTTATATCTCTTTTTTACTTTATTTAGCATTCTGAGTTGTGCCTTTGGAGTGATCTTGGCTGGGCGCCCACTTATAGGGAGAGACTCAGCGCTAAATCATCGCCTTTTATAGACAATTTGTCTAACTGTATACTGATGAATACTTTACTTTGCAAAGCTTTAAGCAAATCAGCAATTACTGATACTAGGTCTTCTGAGATCTGTTTATTGAGAGGTATGGTTCACATTGACTCCAGTTAGTTCTTGTCGAAGTCATTAGCCCAGGGGTTCACATACTTTTTCCAAACTACACTGTGAATGAATGATTCATTCAATATGGACAACAACAATACATTCCTTTTTGTGTTATTAGTTTAAACAGATTGCTCTTTAGTGTAACTTAGATGAAGACGAGGCCATATTTTATCACGACTTTATAAACAAATGCAGGTCATTTCGAAGGGTTCACATACTTTTTCTTGCCACTGTATAATAACAAAGTAATGTATGCTTATCTGGTGTTCTTTACTCACTTAAAGTAGGAGAAGATAAAAATGGATATGAGTAGAGAGACCACTGAGAGTGTGTGACCGACCACCGCCAGATAATACGATGTGAGTGCAACCTATGGACAGAGGATAAGAAAAAAGACCATTCATTCACCAATTTCTGCAACTGCAGAACTCTCAAGCCCATTTCACACCAGACGCGTTAGCCGCACCGCATGACGCGCCACCCCTGTCGCACGCAATATGCTCCTACATTAATCACTATACCCATTTACACCAGCAGTGAAGAGCAAAAACACGCTTTGGGTCTATTTTGGACGCATGCCGTGCATTGCATGCTACCAGTTTCTAGGCAGAAACCGTAAAGAGATACAGTGTTTATGATACAATATGTGCTTTAATATAATATGACACAATCTTTCTCTCTACACAATCCCTCCTGTAGGTTAATGTTTTGAACCCACACGCATCTTGTTGTTGTTATCTCCCCTCCTCACAAAGCTGCGCATCACATGGTGAGAGAGCTAGCAACAGTCACAACAGCAAGTCAGGTATTTACTGTTGATCTCTTTATATCATCTACATAAAGTTTATTTAAGCAATAAACAGATAATACAGACATTCGTATTACATGAAAATGCAAGGCAAACAAAAACCTGGTGTGAAATAGCAAGGGGATTACCACTCGCGCCATGTTAATAAATTTTTTAATCGCAATTATACATATCACCGTTAATCACCCACTAAAATTTCATTATCGTGACAGCCTTCCCTGAGGTGATTTCCATGAATGTTGCAAAACGAATTCTTGAGATAGCAAGCATCAAAACATGTAATCTTCCCTTATTTCAGTGTACTTACTGCACTGATTGGAGGAAAGTACCTGACTCATATCTGAAGCATGCTTTGACCTCCGGTGTATTGGTGTACTACATTCTGATAATGCTATTGTCTAGTGTACCTAAAGTGATTGTACAACAACAAGACAAGACAAAGGCATGTTGCCTAGATAAAAACAGTAGTAGCACCCATCATGAAGTCTGAATTTGGCCTGTAGAGTATGTCACACAGTGTCAGAAACCGTATGCAAGTCTATCTGAGATTACTTAACAACTCAGTGAATTGTGAGGCGTGATTTAGGTGTGTAGTTTGCACAGGGCTTACTTCTTAGTCTCATCGCTCCAGTGCAAGATGAGAAAAAAAGAAGCAAACTTCGAACACCATGTTTTGGCTAACAAACCAAAAAAATGGTCCTACCTCAAGTTTTTTTTTGGTGTACGCAGTGCACAGGGTGTAATTGGACCACAGACGGTTGCTGTCTGGGTGACGGAACCACTGACCATCTGAGTTGCACACTTTGGTCACTTTTTCTAGAGGAGCAGTCCAGACCAAAGAAGACGATTTCAGCAGCAATAACCAAACCCATGACAAGGCTGAAAAACCTTGCTGTGGTACATTTTTGTTAAGCTTTTAAAGACTTAAAAATATTCTAAAAACATTCGTGTACAACAGTAACACTCTTAATTCTTAATACTAATACTTAACTCTTAATACTGCTACATTCACATTGTTGGGTTGAGTGAACACAAATATCAGATATTTCAAATTTGATTTATGCACCTTTCAGCTCTGTTCCTACAGTCAGATGCAAAAGTTTGGGCACCTCCGGCCAAATCTGTTGATTTTCCAAGAGAAAAAAGTTAACATCCTCTACAGAGAACACGCTTCTGCAGGTTTTAATACACAATTACTGTTTATTTGCTGAACTTAACATATTTGGAAAAAAATAGCAGATAAAATGTGGCCTGTGCGTTAAAGTGTGAAAGTTATGGCACATTTTATATTATACATGTATATACTGGAGCGTCCTGTTACCGGTCACGCTGCCGTGGGAGAGCGGGAGGAGTGGCCATGCACAGTGGCGAGTTGTTGCTGTTAGCTTGATGATGTGCATGTGTTATTTGTGCTATTCTGTGTTTGGCTGTGGGATAGTTAGTCCAGTGTTAGTGCCTACCAACAGGAGAAAGTGTATGGCTAGAAGTAACCTGCCTGCTATCTTGGCTGTTTCAGAAGAACTTTCTCCCTTGCTGCCTGTTAAAAAAAAAAACGTATTCACCCTTGAAAGTGCAATGTTTCCCGCATCACCTCCTGCGCTGACAACACTGTATGTGTGTGTGTGTATATATATATATATATATATATATATAGATATGTACTCATATACCAATATATATATATATATATATATATATATATATATGTATAGTATATATATAAAAAACTCAGCAAATAAATACAAATTGTGCTCTAAAATTTGCTGAAAATAGATGTGTTAACTTATTTTCACTAAGAAAATCAACAGTACATGTCAATTGCATTCAAATGTACAGATACATACTGAAATGAAAAAACTGAAAATTTTCAAGTCGCTCACCAGATGGATCGAAGTCTGTGAAGTAAGTGGGGCACTGTTGCGCAGCAATCCCGGGAGACGTGTCATCCCAACACAGCCAGCCGTCCCATGTGCGATTACAGTACGGTCCTAAAGGGGGCAGCAGTGAGACAGGGCTTTAGTTTCACAGCTTTATGTCATTGACAGTAAATATAAACTAGACCCACTCGTCCCACTGTTTTCAAAGGGGACAAGAAGAGGTCAATCGTGCCACTTCCTGATTGGCTTCTTGTACGGTGTACGGTGAGACTCCGCAGGCACCTAAATGACAATCTAAAGAGTTTGGCGCAAATGACCAGACTAAATCATGCTGCTGGGCAGCAACATAAATCATCACTACCATTTAGAACAACAGCACTTTTTCAAAGCATAATGAAACTGAAAAGAATTTAGTTACAACTTCCTCCATCATTGTTGTTTGTGCAAAATATACTGTAGAATCGAGAGGACAAGTCAAAACAGCCACAGCAAAACATGCATCATAACAATGATCTTTCTAAAATAAACAAGTAGATGAATAATACTGATCATTTTAAGTAATGTAAATTATTATAATTGTTTTATTGTATTGCAACAATATTGTAGCAGTAGTAACAAATGAACCCTTGTATGTTTTGTATTATAATACATGCTTTGTATTATTGAGCAGCTTCTCTTTTAAAAAAGTTGCTTCTTCAAGAGTTCTTTAGTACAGAAAATGGTTCTCCGTTTAAGACACAATAGAATGCTGTACAGTGGCAGGAAAAGGCAACTCAACAGGATTTGAGGCAAATATGTAATGATTTAGGCACAATCCTATTTGGAGCACACAATCTTCTATTACTTATTAGCCACATTAGCCTTACAGCTCCATTGCAAATCTAAAGCAGTAAAGTTCATATCTTAGGTGATCAACTGCAATTGGGATATGAGGAAAACTGTTTAGGCAAACTCCTCCTTTAAGTTTCCACATCGCAAGAAAAATAATTTGTGCCAGTGAGAACCTCATAAGAGCTGGCATGACGGACGCACTGTTTATATTAGCTTCATAGAAAAAGAGACCGGAGCAGTGCGTCAAGCAGCAGAAAACAAAAGGCAAGAGCATGTGCTTCCTCAAACTAGAGCCTCGTACACAATCTAAGGAAGCCTGACGCACACAGACGGGGAAGAAACTCAAAGACAGCCAGGCACTGGGCAAGAGTGACACAGATAAACTTCACTTCCTTTCTTTCAGGAGAGAGAACAGTCTTCCCCCTCACTCCTGTGCTCTCTCTCACAATGATCTCTGGCTGGCTGCTCTCTCTTTTTGAACCCCATATCAGGTCTTTTATTAAAAATGCTTAATAGTAATGTAATAAAACGGCACCTCTGTTTTTTTGGTGAATAGAACACTGAACCCAACTTTGCACATTTCCTTTATACTAAAATTAGAAACACAGGACAACTGAAACAACATGTGTACAACATCTGAAGGCATAATTAGAAGGAGAATGAAAATGCCTCTTTCTTGAAAGTACCTCTAACAGGGCAATGTGATTTGTGTCCTGTTGGGCAGCATTTGTTAAGCTGAATAAGTCCTCTTTACTAGCCAAATACTCTTGTATCCGGCATCAACCAGGAGTTCGTTTTTGTTGTTTTAAGCTGCTTAATTTTAATCCTAACGCTGATGTGACAGTGAGGTCTATGATGTTTCAGTCATGGCTTCAGTCATTCACGTGCTTCACGTGCATCATCAGAAAACAGACTAATGGTCAGAACGAGCCTTCGCTGCGAAGATAATTAATTCTGATCAGCTCTCAGCTGTTCATTATTGGAGCGAGACAAAGGTGAAAAAGGTGAGATGTGTTGCTTTTCCACCGTTTACATTCTTTAACTTTTGTTCGGCGCTGCTGCCATGGTAACGCTGAATGATGCCGCACGCACAGTGGAAAAAAAGCACCTGAATTCCGATCTGAGCTTCACATTAAGGTCGCATGGCCACGAATCGGATACATATCCGATCTAGGACCACATATGAAAGTGGCTCAGGTTGGATTTGACAAGATCAGATTTACGTGTCCACACAGCCCTGAAAACATCAGAGTCACATTAGGGCAAAAAATCGGATTTGTGCCACTTTAACCTGGTAATGTGAACGTAGCCTTAGATATTTTATCCAGTATGAATCCATCAGTCAAAAATACCCTACAAAGTACATTATCTGACCTTCTCTAGTAAAACTAAGGTCCCTTCCCAGGGGCACCGTATCGCGGGCGTTTGGACGATTCTAAGGGCCTGTGACTGACAGGGCCCTAAAAATCATTAGAACATTAGGTAATATTTTTTTCAGTATGAAATTATTAACCTATCATCATATATAGAATATTTATTTACAATGTACCAAGGTTGGTGTAGTCCATGAGCTTAGTCTACAGCTATTCATACGGTACCATCCTCACACCCCCAACTGAAGAAGCAGGTGAGCAGCATTTTGGTGAATGACATGTCATATCATGGCATAATTGAATTTTTTTTTTTATTATTATGAAAAAAAGAAAAATGATGTTATTAAATTCTCTTCAATGATAAAACTAATTATGCTAATTATTTAATTTTATTTTATTTAATAATTTTTCCACAATCAATTTTTAAACATAGTGCATAAGTGTTTTATAAACTCCTGTGTGGTACTGTTTATTTCTTTGTAATAAACATTCACACATGGCATCATATTTGCGATTTTAGATGAGTGAGTGTCCGTTTTACAGCTACTTAGCTAGTGCTAAGTTTTATGCTGCTGTTGTCAAACATCATTTACCACACTTATGCGTTTGTCTTGAATATTTTGGCAGAATTAAGAGAGGTACAAGGTGCTGCAAGTTGCTAGCTACTTTTGTCAGTGGCCACATACCGAGGTGGGGCCCAAACGATATCTTTTCATGGGGTCCAAAATCCCTGGCAGGGCCACTGCCCCTTCCACACATATGCGGATATTTTTGAAAACAAATTTTTTCTCTGTGTCTTGGCCTCTCGTTCACTGAACCTCTGTTCACTGAAAACAGAGGTTTCTGAAAACGCTCTCCAGGATGGAGATTTTTGAAAGCTCAGTGTTTTCATGTGGACATGACAACACTACCATCACGCAGCTCTACCAGCTTCTTTAGCTTGTTGGGAGATAAGAGATTTTGTTTAAATCTGTGCGAAATACTGAATTATGGAGGTCTGATGGCCTGCACGTCAAAGTCTGCAGTGTTTGTAACACTGGTGTCACATTGGTAAAAAATTGCTGCTTTACCTTTGCAGCACACTATATTTTGCACTGTGCGCATGCTCGAAATGTTCTTCTTGGTGTGCGTGAGAAACTTTTATGGGGTATTATCTCTCCCTGTCAGGCTGGCATGCTCATGTGAGTGTTTTCGAGTTATTCTGATGTTCTTGGGTGGATGTAGAGATACTCAAAAATACTGCTCGTGTGGATTTTTTTTTTTAAAACAGACAGAAATAAATATTTCTTAAATATTTCTGGATACATGTGGACAAGGCCTGATCCTGCACAAACAGACCTACAGTTAAAAACTGACTTACCATATGTTGACAGAAAAACATCTGGGACTGTGATGGGTCAGGCACTTACAGCACACAGTAAAAAACATGACTGACAGAAAGTCTAAGAGAGAGAAGGAAGTAGTGGTGTGTGCGTGTTCGTGTTTCCTGACCTGAATCTGTGCGTGGTGGGTCATGCAGTATTCGGAGATAACACTCAAACTGAGCAGCCAGGATACTCCCTCTTGACTCCATAAGTATGGGGGATGAAGTTACTTCCGCCAGTGACATCATCGTAGCCGTCACATCCTCACCCTGACATACCTGCAGCAAAGAAACATATACACAGGTTTGCTTTTATACTATATCAGGATGTTTGGTCAAACATATGATTCATATGCATTATCTATGCACCAAACAGCCACTTCATTTCATACTTTTCCATTGCTGCAGCAGCTTCAAACTTTTTGCACGCCATTTTGCATGTTTCTCCAATGACAAATGAATGAAGAATGAAAGCTTTCTGACGTGATGGGTAAGTCCTTAGTGATTTCCTGAGCGTCCATTGGTCACGATAAGATGGAATTGAAAGGGCAGACTCTACAGGTTCAGGAAATGTTTGAACTGCATTTCCGCATGTATTATCACAAAGATAGAGAAACATATACAGAATTTTTTTTTATTTGATGCGTGGGCCCGTTTGTTGACCCCAGAAGGTTAAGTGCACATCAAAGACATACGTAGATAGTGTATCTACACTATTCTATTCAACTTTTTCCTTCTCTTGTAAAGTTACTCATTTGGAGATAGGAAATTTGACAATAACAGTGACAATATGTAAATATCCATATGTATTATATATCATTTACAAAAAGCACTTTTTAAAGTCAGTAGCATTCTGTTGGTTTTACATTACTCTTCAGGCTCTCATGATTCCAGCAGACTTCACAATAGAGAACCTATTTTGGTATCATGTAGAACCCATCTTTCTCACAGGTTCCGTAACATAACCAACTTAGAATGGGTTTGTTTATCTCTCAAGAGTTCTCTAAACTTTACCAAAAAATGCTAACTGTGTCATTATTACATTTTCCTCTTGCTGCAAAGACATATAAGGCTCCATCTAGCAGATAAAAAGAGCTTTAAATTGTTGCATTCAGAACATCCATGCTTTTAAGCATTTTAGAGGGTATTTAGACATAAGGGCACTTACACTACCATTCAAAAGTTTTATTGTATTACTGAAAAGACTAAAGTTACACTATGTAAGTTTGGGGGATTTGGAGACCTTTGTGGTAATGTGGTATGTAATTTTACGCAATGTGCAGAAGAACATTTTGTAACGTGGGTTGTGCTTCAGCAGATGAATCCAATAATTATGAGCGTGTTAAAAGAGAACTCAAACAGAACTCAGTTAAAACTTGGTGAAGGACATGCCTTCTGAAGATGGTAAGTAAATTATCTACTATTGTCATCCTATCTTCATCAGTATAATAATGATTTTTCATTGAGCCGGACCTTCTTTTTGAGCCTGTGCTTGTGACATTAATATGTAAAGATGTATGACATGGCCTGAAAAAAATCCCACAATATCCATTATCTGGCCCGACACCTCTGATTTTAAAATTATTATTTCAGGCTTTACAGGGTGACTCACAGCAGCGCATGCACACCATATTTTAGTATGTTTTTTCTCCTGACTCATTAATGCTACTTCAATATAGCATTGATCAAAAAACTGTACATAAAGCAGCTTTGATTGCAAACTTTTGGAATATATATAATACGCATAATAGCCTTTAAAATGTCTGTCTACCATGTGCACACAGCATAAAACACAGACATACTCCTCACCTCAGTGGTCAGCAGTGAAAGGAGCAACAATTGGAAGGACGGGTGTTTTCCCATGGTGCACTAGAGGAGGCAAAGAAAAGGGGCGTCTGAGAACATCAGTACCCTGCAGAAATGAGATACATTATTTAGATAGTAAGAATATATGATTTAAATACAGCATCAAAAAATCTAAAAAATGAATATTCAAAAGTCTGAGCCAATCCAGTAGTATATAATCAGAGCTCTGTAGAATCAAGACGTTTCAACACATTAAATATCAAAAATCTAATTGCATCTTGACGAAAACTGAAAATCGTCTTGAACCTGAAACTGTCTTTTGTTACGCTGCTAACTGTTAGCGAGCCAGCTCTGTTGTTTATCAGCTACACAAAGCTATCCTGACATGCTGCCCTCCACATGCAGTATAATCAAAGCACATTGGCCTCCACTGAGCTGTATGGAGCAATAGATGTATTCAGACCAGTCAAGAATGTTTTCAGTGCCTGTTTTCAAAGGATTTTACTATCAAGAAGATTAACTGAGTTCAGAGGCTAAGCTTTTCAGAGCTAATTATAGAGCTAGATAATGTCAGAAAAACTGTCAGTCCATCTTTAGAAAACTAATTACATTTCCACACAATTCATACCAAATATGAGATGCAACCTTTTTCAGGCAAACAGATCATTCTGTTAAGAAATATTTCACTAAATATAAGTATATAAATAAAAAATTCTAGTGATTTTCTGGTGAGCTATTTGAATTTCAAATTCAGAGTCAAATTCATGGGTTCAAATAATATTTTTTGTCATATTATTAAACAAATGGTTGAATTTTACACAGTTTACACTAAGAAATTGAATGATGTATATGGCCATCTTGAAACTTGAATTTTATCTGGACTTTTGTCTATTTTTATAGATAACAGCATGTCACACAGTGTCAGAAACGAGGCATGTCTATATGACACTACTTGGCATGGTTTAAGTCACGGTTCAGGGTGTGATGATTTAGGCATGCAGTTTGTAAGAGGCTAATTGCTCTACATAAGCTTCCAATACTTGTTAGTAGAGCTAAGTTGTAAGTAGAGTTTAATTTCAAAATTCTGCATATCCATTTCTAACAATTTTGGATATAACATGTCTTTGAATAGACTTACTGCTGACATATAATGAAAAGCACCTTTTAATTAAAAAAAAAGGTACCAACCTGTACTCAGGTTCAGAGCAAAATTTCAAGCCTGAATAAACTCTATTTGTTAGGTACATTAGCCTTGTATCTCCAGTGAAAACTTATGGCCAGATCCATAAAGCTTGGCTGAAACAGAGCTACGGCATGCAAAAATGTGCGACACAGTAAGGGCTATTCATAAAGTCAACGCATAAAGTTATCACCCCTAGCCAAGAGAAAAAGAAAATTTTGTTTATACCAGAAAAATACATGTATAAAAAGCTAATAACATCTTAAAATTCAACTTCTAATTGTAGGAATTTTATTTTAGCACACAAGATTTCATTTTTCATTAGTAAAAATACAAGTCTTTTTTCAATTCATTATAATAGTGACAATAATTTTTACTACCATGAATTAAAGCTTAAGATGTGGGATTTTTATTACAATTAAAAATTAAGTTGACATGCTGACAGTTACTACGGCCAGCGGTTTAACCTTTTGTTTCCTATTTTTCTTCATCTCAGGAATTCAATTTACACATGTGAAAATTAAAATTCAACTAGTAAACAGAACATTTTGACTTGTGAGAAATTATTTTATACTAGTAAATGTCGTTTTCACATGTAAACTGAATTTCTTTGTAAAAATCCATTGTAAATTAGAAAAACAGGACTAAGTGAAAACTCAATTATAAAATCAATTTACACATGTAATTAAAATCTCTACATGTCAAATTATTCTTCATTTATTTGGATTACAAGCTAAACCTACTTTCTATGCACAGAAGGGAGATTTGCCAAACACTGAATTTGAGGCAGGAAGAAAAGGCCATTTTAATTATAGCGCCAGTTGAATCTGTCGATCTGAAATCCTGCTCCAGCAAGTCTAAAAGCATTTAGAACGCTTACCATGATGCTCCATCCAAACAGGTCAAAACATGCCTTTTAAAAATGGTTTAACCAGCTGAGCTGGTAAACTTGTTGATTACTTGCATATGGGACCAAGCATGTTTGGAAACACTGTCAAAAATATCATTTAATCCATACTGGTTCAGAGAAAATGAACACAAGAGTCGATGAGGTGTTATTTTTTGCGGGATTGTGTGGTGTTAAGAATCGCTAGCTCCATATTTGAATTAAGGAAACAGAGCCAGCTATGAATGAGCAAACAAGTTACCGCCACGCTTTTGCTCTTAAAGTCATGGTAAAGCTGGCGCTGCACTTTACGAATCTGGAGCTGAATGTCCTGACTGACCAGCAACATTTGGGTTAAAAGGAAAAGAGACAAAGTTTAACATGCAGGATTTTTTATTTTTTTTAACATTAAAGTCAAGCTAACCTTCACAAAATCCCCAAATTACAGTGAAGTGCTGATCTGCATGCATAGAATGTCACTGAACTCCAGCCTGACCCAATGACACACAAGCACAACATGCTTGTTTTTTGTCTAAAGGAGGATATTGCAAGATGTCCATGAACTGCAGGCCAAGGCACTACAGAACTGATCAACAAAAAGGCCATGAAAAAATGACTTCTATTTCTATAGCTGCAATCTTTAACAGGCCATTCTTTCATTCCAATTATTTCTAAAGCATAGAAATGCTAGGCCAGCAGCACCAAGGACAGAAAGGACAGGAACAATTCTTTGTCAGCCTGGATTCAGACTCACCCTTCACTGCTGAGAGCGGTTCTGTTAGCTGCTTTCTTTTAAAGATGAAAGTCAAAAATTTCCTATTGACTCTCAGTCATCCTACAAATGACATTAAGCTCTCAACCATGGTTTGGCCTTAAAATAACATTGTGGTAATTGGTCTCTTAAAAGCTTTTCGCAATTTTGCTTATTATATTCAGACTGCCAGTCAAACATAATGGAGAAATTTGCGTCAAACTGTTTTCCTCTGCAGTGGCACTGTCTTCATTCATTCAGCTTCTCAGACTAAATTTCTGCTTTTGTGTTATTTATTTATTTTTTTGTATTTATGACTGTGTGCATTTCAGTGACATACTTGGTGGCTGGTATTTGTGTTTGGTGAAGGGTAATTCACTGATATGTGAACTGTTATGACTGAGACTTAACTGGAGGCAGCTATGAATTAGCTGGAAATATGTTAATTAGATCTGTAGAGCTGTAAGTTCCATACCATGTAATGTGCTGTGCTTAGGGCCGAAAGATTAATAGTTTTCATATCAAATTCGAAATTGAAAGACTGCAATTCTTCGAACCGCAAGAGCTGCAATTTTTACTATATTCTGCATTATTGCCAAGTATAAAGTGAGGAAATTCAAGGTAAAAACATTGAGGTTGTGAAGCCCCAGTAGATTAAGTGACCCTTATTAGTCCCACAACAGGGAAATTTCACCTCTGCATTTAACCCATCCGTGCAGTGAAACATCACATACACACTAGTGAACACACACACTAGGGGGCAGTGAGCACACTTGCCCGGAGCGGCGGGCAGCCCTATCCGCAGCACCCAGGGGTGAGGTGCCTTGCTCAGGGGCACTTCAGTCACGTACTGTCGGCTCAGAGGATCGAACCGGTGACCTTCCGGTCACAGGGCTGGTTCCCTAACCTCCAGCCCCCAAGTAAGACCAAACAAGTTCAAAAGCATCAAAAGCAACCAAACACCCACGTGCTGCACATGTACAACACAACCAGAACTAACTGGCAGTCTTGCAAACTGCTTTCAAGCCTCAAGCTTGACACAATGGATATTCTGGGCTGCTTGGCCAAAATAACAGACGTAGACCTTAATTTATTGAAAAAAACATGATCCACTGTGATGTATAAATCTTTGTACCAAAGCTTCAATGCTTGTTTCTGTTTGCATGAGACATGAGACAGGGGTAAATTATACAATTTGAGCAAGAATTATCACTACTTTCATTAGGATGAAATGTGCTTCTTGGTGACACTTCAAATCTCTGGCCTCTAACTCTTAAACGTCTACAGTTATTACTGTTATTTTGTTATGCTATTAAAATGTAATGTAATTATTACTTGCAGATGGCTGACAAAGGACAAACAAAGTATCTAGCCACTGGGCCACAACAAGACACCAGAACAGCTTCAATGTACCTTGTCATGGATTTAAAAAGTCTCTGGAACAGTACTGAAGGGAAGAAACACCAGAGGAGATGAGCGCTGTTTAACTTTTCTGTCTAAAAACTCATACTGATGTGATCTGGTGACATTATCATACTTATCAAATCATTCGGTGAGCCCTCATGCAGTGAATGGAGACACTGTCATCCTGGAAGAGACCACTCCCCTCAGGATAGAAGTGTTTCATTACAGGAATAAAGTGATCAGTCAGAATAACTGTACTGATTTGCAGTGACACCCTCTAAGGGCACATGTGGACACAAACCATGCCAGCAAAATGCCCCCAAAAACATGACAGTCCCATCCTGTAGGGGTCAAGCATTCAGGTCTGTACTGTTCTCTTGGTGTACGTCACACATGAACACCCCCCCCCCACCCCCCCACCCACTTGTAGTGGATACGATGAGAGATGATTCATCTGACCAGATCACTTTTTTCCACATCTCTGCTGATCAGTGTCTGTGGTTTTTACACCAGAGAACTCTCAAATGCCCATTTGTCTTTGTAATTCCCTCTCTATGTATTGGTCCCTCTGTAGGGCCAGCCTAGAAGAGGCATTCTCACTGACTGACTGACTGAGTCACTTCGCTGAAATGTGCATGCGCAGGGAGTGTAGCTGGCCACACTTCAGTCTAGCTTACGTTAGGTAGCAAGGGACAGTTGTAGAGATGCTTTTATGTTGCTATTGTAATAGCTTAAAGAGGAATTTTCATCACATTTTCCAAATTTCTGCAAAAAGTAATGGCCAAGACATAATCAAAGTTAAAGTGGTTTGTTTTGATATGCTCCATTCTATAGAAACTGTTGACAGCGGTGGTGATAGGAACCAGACATCTGAAGTGTTTAATA